TATTCCTGGAACTGTCATGTTCTCTTTTCTTGGTTCTGTGAGCTCCTCAGTCATCAGGCCTGGGAATCCCAGATAAAAGGCCCAGGCCAGGTTCCAGGAGGAGGGCCCCAGAGAAAGTGGTTCCCCACAGCCTTGCTGAGAGATGGGGCTTATTTTTAAACCTAAACAGATGGGGCGCTGGGAACCAAACACAGTTGTGGCTTCCAAATTCAAGGGACAGGCTTAAGAACGCCCTAAGATGTAAGATTATGTGTGTGCGTGTGTGTACGCACGTGCATGTGTGCGTATTTTCATTGAGAATTGTTTGACATATACCATTATGGTGATTTCAACGGTATAACACAAAGACTCAATATAAAAATTGGATTGTTTGGTTTTTTGCTATTGAGTTGTAGGGATTCCTTATGTATTTCAGACTTTAACCCCTTATCAGATACGTACGGCTTGTAAATATTTTCTCCTACTCAGGAGGTTGGCTTTTCCATTTTGTTGATGGTTTTCTTTGCTGTCCCATTTTTAGTCTGATGTCCCACTTGCCTATTTGCATGTGTTGCCTTTGCTCTTGGAGTCAGATGTAAAAAAATCATTGCCAAGACCAGTGTCAGGGAGCTTAACTCCCCTCTGTGTTCTCCGAGGAGTTTTATAGTTTCAAGTCCTATGTTTAGGTCTTTAATTGCTTTTGAGTTAGTTTTTGTATATCGTGTAAGAAAGTGGTCCGGTTTCATTCTTTTGTGTTTGGTTGTCCGGTTTTTCCAGTACTGCTTACTGAAGAGGCTGTCCTTGCTCCATGTACATTCTTAGCTTCTTTGTTGTAAATTAATTGACCGTATATGTCGGCTCATTTCTGGGTTCTGTACTCTAATTTTATGTCCGTACCATACCAGTTTGATTGCTTTTGCTTTGTAATATAGTTTGAAATCAGGGAGCACGATACCTCCAGATTTGTTCTTCTTTCTCGAGATGGTTTTGGCTATTTGGGGTCGTTTGTGGTTCCATGCAGATTTGAAGATTGTTCTATTTCTGTGAAAAATGCCACTGGAATTTTGGTAGGGATTGCATTGCATTCAATCTGTGGATTGCTTAGGGCAGAATGGACATTTGAACAATATTCTTCCAAACCACGAACACAGAGTATCTTTCTATTATTTGTGTCATCTTCACGTTTTCTCATCAGTGTCTTAGAGATTTCAGTGTACAGGTCTTTCACTTCCTTGGTTAAACCTGTTTGTAGATATTCTTTAAGATGCAATTACAGATTTTTAAAAAGATTTTATTTATTTATGAGAGAACACAGAGTGTGAGAGCATGAGCAGGGTAAGGGGCAGAGGAAGAATTAGACTCCCTGCTGAGGGGGGAAACACAACGCTGGGCTCCATCCTAGGACCCTGGGATCAAGACCTGAGCTGAAGGCAGAGGCTTAACTCACTGAGCCACCCAGGTGCCCCAGATGGGCCTGTTTTCTTACTTTCTCTTTTTGATAGTTTGCTATTATGTATAGAAACACTGCATATTTTTTGTGTATTGGTTTTGTGTCCTACAACTTTATCGATTTGTTGATTGGTTCTGAGAGTGGAATTTGGTGGAATCTTCAGGGTTTCTAATATGTAATATGTCATCCTACAGTAGTGACAGCTTTGCTTCTTCCTTTCCAATGTGCATGCCTTTTCTTTTTCTTAATGCTCTGCCTCGGGTTTCAGTACTGTGGTGAATAGAAGGGGTGAGAGTGGGCATCCTTATCTTGTTCCCGATCTTAGAGGGAAAGCTTTCAGTTTTTCACCATGACGATGTTAGCTGTGGGCTCATCCTAGGTGGCCTTTATTGTGTTGAAGCACATTCCCTCTATACCCACTTTGTTGAGTTTTTATCATAAATGTTGAATTTTGTCAAACACTTGTTCGGCCTCTCTTGAAGATGATCACATTTTTACCCTTCATTTTATTCACATGATGGATCACATTTATTTGCAGGTGTTGAACCGTCCTTGTATTCCTGGAATGAATCCCATTTTATTATGGTGTGTGATCCTTTCAGTGTATTACTGAATTCAGTTTGCCAATATTTCATTGAGGAGATAATATTCTAACAGGACTTCTTAACCTATTTTGTGCCACGGGCCTCTTTGGAATGTTTTCAAATGCCTAAAATAAAATACAAAGGGTTATGAGGCATGTGGCTGGCTCAGTCAAACATCCTACTCTTGATCTCAGCTCAGGTCTTGAGCTCAGGATCATGAGTTCAACCCCATGTTGGGCTCCATGCTGGGCACGGAGCCTACTTAGGAAAAAAAAAAATACAGAGGGTTATGAAGGAAACCAGTTCTGTTAGATATAGCTCTTGTCCCAGACCACCTTGGGAAAGGCAGCCTGGCAGCCCTGACAATCCAGAGCCCCTGAAGCGGGCCTTGCTACCCCCAGGGGCTGCTAGCAGGTGGCGGGGTCCTAGGCATGGAGATTGGGTTGGGGTAGGCCCTGCATTCTGGTAGCCTTGTGACCCGAATGAAGGCAGGTGTGACAAGCATGACAGCAGCGGCAGCAAGGGCAAATGCTTCCTTGCACGGTGCACACTGTGCCCAGGGGCTGGCCTCAGTCAGACCGCATCAAATCTTCAGCCTTCCAATCCACCCGGAGAGCTGGGTCCTTTTGGTGACAGGAGCCAGACTCAGAGGAGCTGAGCACCTTGCCCAGAGGTGCTCATCCCATGTCAGCACCAGCAAGGCTGCTGCTCTCGTTGGAAAGCACAAGGGTTCTGGCTGCTGCCTCTGTTACTGTATGGCCCTCGGTCTGCCATCCCCTCTCCTTCCTTGCAGATTTGACCTCCTTCAGCTCTGCTCTCTGCTGCCTCTGCAGTCTCCCTGGACTGTCTGGGTCTGTGGCTGTGTTCTTGCCATGTGCCGTAGTGGCCCCCAGAACCCCGTGGTGCCTTTCCTTTGGCACCTCGGGCCCCAAACTATCTGTGACTTCATCCTGTGCCTATGCGTCAGGCCTGGGCTCCCTGTGTGGCATGGACTGTCTAGGCAGACTGTGGTTTCTCTGACCTGGAGAGGGTCACGGCCCGGACAGTCCAGGTGAGGGAGGGTATCCCAAGGTCACAGGAAGGGAAAAGGTGGGTGGAGGACAGAGATGGTGATTGGGACGGGTGGGACTTAGGGATGGGGAGGCAGGGCCTCATGGGAGGTGATGCAGAGGCTTCTTGCCTGCCTGGGGCCTCAAGGGCTGTTCCCTGGGCCAGAGAACACAGGGGACAGGTGTTGCCCTGGCTGTTGTGAGCGTGAGCTGGGGAGGAGTGGGGAGGCAGGTGGCCAGGGTAGGCGTGCAAGGGGAGGGAGGATCTGGGTGCTCGTGGGCCCTCAGGTGTGTGGGCTACCTGGATCGTGTCTCGTGCCCACCCAGTGCCAGAAAGGGAAGGCTCTCCATGGGGGCTGGCCCCAGCATGGCAGGCCATATGCTTTGCTTCTGAGTGGTCCAGCGCTGACCCCAGCCAGGGCTCCCGGCCACCACGACACAGGTCTGGTGAGGACCCTGAAGACTGGTGACGAAGAGCCTGGGAAACAGAGGCAGGGCCCAGGGGTGGGGTGGCACTCACCATGGGAGACACTACCATTCTCTGCGGGTGTTGCCCATCCATGCCTCCTTCCTACCCTCACAGCAACTGGGAGGTGGGGAAGTGTCGTCTTGTGGCATGGGTGAGGGGACTGGGGACCACCACAGCCCCGCAGTGGAACTGGGGCCACGAAGCCATGCCTGAGGCAGGGGAAGGGGGACGCATGGGGCGGCTGTCTGTCCCTCTATCCTCTGGGTGAGCGTTCCTCACACACGTGGCTCAGAGCTACTCTGTTCTCCTTTCACAGATGGAGAGCCAGTATGGTAACCGGGGCCCTGCAGGATGAGGGGACGTCTGCCCAGGGTTCCTGAAGCCCGGATGGGGCTCAGTGCACTTGGCTTGAGGCCGTGCCCAGCTTGCTGGGGGCTCACCCCCAAGCCTCTTTCACAGCCCCAGGGAGTGGTGGAGTTCTGCCGGTGCTTAGCAGCCTTGGAGCTATGTGCAGTGTGGAGAGGGAGCTCACGGGGACTCTGGAAGGGGAGAGGGAGGGGAGTAGCTAACGTTTATGGAGCCCCTGTCCTGTGCCAGCACCCAGGGGCCCACTGCCTCGGACTTTCTCCCCTGAAAGCTGTCTCTCCTAGCAGGGTGGGGAGGCTCCCCTGACCTGACCTGCCGAGCCTTTGCATGAGCTTTTAGCCTCCGGACATGCCCTGCCCTTGCCAAGGGGGTTCCCAGCAGCCAAGCGAGCAGCTTTGGTGCTCAGATCCCGTGTCATTTTGTCCCCCATGCTCCACATTCTCGGGCTGGGGCAGGATCTCCCCCTCTGCACCTGCTTTCCTGTCCCGCACCCATTCGCATGGGTGGGCTGAGCCCACACTATGTGCCAGCCAGCTTGGCATACAGCGGTGAAGGCGGCCATGCCCCTGTGCCAGCGGGGGCGGCTCTCTGGGGAGGGGGCACACCTGAGCACACAGGAAGCTTAAGGGCAGAGGTGACGGGGGCCCGGGAGAGTCTGGCTTTCCTGCTTCGCTGGTCCCGGCCCCACGGCAGAGCTGGTGGCCCGGGCTCAGGAGACATCTGGAACAGCTGATGAGCTGCTTGCTGATGAGTCACCTCGGTCACTGTCAGCAGGCAAAAAGGCAACCCGCACCCCTGGCTCAACCATGCTTCCAAGTGTCTATGAGTCTCTATCGTGTCTGTACCCCGAGCTCCCCAGACAGGACCTGGAAGACTAAAAACAGGGCGTTTACAATAAAGAGAGCTTGTGGATGTTGTGAGAAAGTTGTTCAGTGAAAAGTGATTCTTCTGACCTCTAGTCCCCGAAGCCTCCCGGGACTCCAGTGTGGGTCTCCTTCTAGAGACGGTCTCTTCGTGCACTGGAGTATGTCCGTGTGTCTGGCTGGCTGCCCCCGCACGCGGGTCTTCGCAGCCACCCTGATGGGCCTCACTTCCACCCACAGGTCTCCGTGCTGGTCCTCTTCGCCCTGGCCTTCCTCACCTGTGTTGTCTTCCTGGTTGTCTACAAGGTGTACAAGTATGACCGTGCCTGCCCCGATGGTTTCATCCTCAAGGTAAGGCTCCACCTCCCCCTGAGGCTCCAGGCACCCTCCCGGAGGGGATAGGCACTTGAGAAGTGGGGGCTTCTCCTGCTTCTTCCATCAAGCTGGGGGCGGGAGGGGGAGCATGGAAAGGAGGCAGAGGGGCAGGGGAGAAGGCGATCTGTAGCAAGGCGGCTCCTGGGACTTGACCTCAAGCTGGGGGATCAGAGGCCCTGAGGGAGGAAGGGCTTGCATGAGGGGGACCGGGGGCAGGGCTGGGCACACGTCCCACACACCTTGGCTGCCTGCCCCCCCCTGGTGCCTGCTTGGCTGGGCTCCCTGTGCACGTGGAAATGCTTGCTTTGCTCTGATGACTCTGCGTTCCAGAAAGTCTGCAAGGAGCACAGAAGCATGCACCGGGAGCAAAAGGATTAAGTGAAGACAAAAAAAGGGCGGGGGTGGGGAGCGACGAGGGGAAGAGGTGAAGCATGAGGAAGTACGATGGCCTCGCTGTTCACTCACTCCCGTTTCCCACACACTCAGCATCTGGGCCCACATTTGGTTCTGAACCCTCCAGAGCCAGTGTGAAGAGGGAAAAGGAGGAGTTCCTGGATCTGGTGTTGCCCGAGTTAAAGCAGGAGCGGCCCATGCTGAGGGCACGCACGGACGGGCTTGGTTTGTCACCCGTCACCCTGCGGCTTTGCTCTCGGCTTCGGTGGTGCGGGGCCGCGGAGCCCTCGCATGAGTTAGCCGGCGACGCCAGAGCTCACGCTGCCCTGCAGCCCTTTCTCTGCACTGCAGGTGTGTATGTCGTTATGTCGTGCCTGCTGTGGGCCCCTTGCGGCTGCTCTTATCCGGGTGCTGAACAGCCAGGACCCGTTGGCTGAAGGTCCCCACCTTTGGGAAGCTCCCTGCTATTCTCAGAAGAAACGTAAAGTCAGTCGTACACCAAGTTCGGTTATAAGCGATGGAAAATAGAAGAGCCAAGCAGGGTTGGGACTGCAGTTTCTAGAGGGGTGGTCAAGTTTGAGCAAAGCTCATAGGAGGCCAGTGAGGCAACTGTGTGGGGGACCCAGGGGGAAAAGCGCCCCCCCCCGCCTCCATGCTGCCTTCAATGAACCCGTGCACCTCCTGGATGGGGTGGGAGAGGTTACGGTCTGCTTGGAAGCTCAGAAGATGCCACGGTTTAAAGGAGGCCAACCCAGAGGGCCTGGGGGCTTCAAGGAGGGGAGGGAAGCCCTTGACCAAGCAAGCTCATTAGCAGACGCTGGAGACCGGCAGGGCCAACCCAGGCTGGCTGGGGGAGCAGCAGTGCACACGGGACAGCAGGGCAGTGCAGGTCTGGTTAGCCTGGAGGACTGGGGGCAGGGGGATGTGAGCCAGCTATGGGCCAGGCAAAGGCCCTGGGGGAGGGCAAGGGGGAAGTGAGGGCATAGCCACTCGGTTGCCTGTCGAGGCTGGAGGTTCGGTGAGATGACCCAGGAGGCTGCTGCAGGGAGCCTGGGGTGAGAGTAGGGTCTGGCCTGCTCAGGGTGCTGGGGATGGAGAGATGACTTGGGGGATGGGGTGCAGGGAAGGAGGAGGGGAGGACCTGGTCCAGAGCTGGGTGAAGCAAAGTGGCTGATGTCATGGAGAGGAAGCAAAGCAGATGCAGGAGTGGTGCCCTGATGGGAACAGGGTGCACAGAGGACAGCTTCCTGGGGACTGGGCAGACTGCTTACAAACATCCAGGGCCGGCAACTCCATCGGGAGAACCCAGGGTTTGCTTCCGGACTTGTTCTCTCTGGACCAGGGCAAGCTGCCTGTGTGGAGGAGGCAACAGGCTAAATTGCCCAGCCCACAAGGCCAATTCTGCTAGAAAACCTAGGCTGGGCAGGTGGAATCCAAGAGAGGAGACCCTTGCAGGGGGAAGGGCAGGTCTCTGGGTATTTAGAGGCTCTGTGGGTGAGCCTGGGGCCCAGCCAGCCTTGGGAATTGAGAGTCCAGTAACGTTCTGTCACTGCATCTCCCGGGACTTCAGCATTTTCCACTGGCCTTTCCATCTCATTGGGGGCAGGTGTCCTTCCTGGAAACCCTGGCTAGGAGGACTGGGGAGTTGCTAGTCTGTGTCTAAAAGCCCTTGGCTAAAGCTGGGGGGGAGGGAAGGTGTGGTGCGTGAAGGGGGTCCCATGGGACCCCCAGAGCCAGAGGAACCCCACAGGGGCCACAGAAGTCCTGGCGTAAGCCTGAGGACAGCCGTCTGTGCTGTGGGTGAGAGGAGGTGCAGGCCACTTCCACCGGGAGTGTCATGTGGGGGATTTAGGCAGGCAGATATGGGCTGGGGGGATGCTCGGTTTCTGCCTTTTCCCTAAACCTTGAAGTTATTATGGGAGTACTATGGACAGGCTTTAAAAGGAATGGGAACTTGCCCAAGCTGCCCATTTTGACCTGTGGGTATTTCCTGTAGACCGTCTACACGCATTCTCACCATGGTGCACGTTCTCACCTGTGCACAAGGAACACTGACGAACGCTGGCCGTGGGCCAGGGGCTGCTTGGAACGCGCTTGCTTGGATTACCTCGCTGGGCCAGTGGTCATCCTGTCTGAGGGCGGAAGTGCAGGGAGCTTTGGTGACCTCCCCACACTTGCCCACAGAGGGGCATGAGGCTGCAGTCCGGCCTGAGACAGGCTGGGTCAGAACTTCCTGGGAGCCCCTGGCCCCAGGCTCGCCCCAGAACTGGGGTTCTCACCTACCACCAGCCCACCTCAGTGCCTCCCCGCAGGTTCCTCCAGCAGTCCGTGCGGGCAGCAGCAGAACCGTCCAACCCCCCTGGCCCGGTGCCCAGAGGGCAGGGGGAGGGGAGGCATGCTGTCAGGTCTAGAGGCCCCAGCCTAGCCTGGCATGGAGGATCACATGGCCCAGGTTCTTGCAGGACTCTGTGCTGGCGAGTGGAGGAGGGAGGACAGAGTGAAGGGCCGGTGGCAGTGCTGACTGGGGACAGGGTGGCTGCCTGCTTTGCTGGACGGGGGCTGCTGCTTCCCCCCAGACACAACCGGGTTCGAGCTGCTGCTGAGATGCAGGCATCCCCTTGGTGGTGCCCCTACAGCTTTTGATCTTCCCTGTCCACTGTGTGAGCACGGACACATCACGGCTTCTTACCTGAGTGGCCCATCGCTGCCTTTGGTCCTCATGGCCACCCAGGAGGCGGGGCTCCCCTGCCCTGTGTCGTAGGCAGGGGAGCTGAGGCCGGGAGCAGGAGGAGCTGCGGTAGATATGACCTGTGGCATGGGCAGGCCTCCATGGTCACGCTCTTTCCAGGGCATGGCTCCCGCTGCCCCCACTGACACCCTGGACAGGCAGACTGGGATGGGCAGCACGCTGCAGACTGACCTCTCCCAGAAATGGCTCCCTGTGTTCCCTGAGGGCTGGTAGGTAGTTGTGATCCTGGTATCTCGGGCAGTAGGGAGCGGGGAGGAGGCAGGAGGCCCGTTTTCCGTGGGGCAGACAGTCCTGGGCTGAAGGGAAGGCCCGTGGTGACTATGTCCCATAACCAACCAGCCAGCAGCTCAGAGCCTCTCTCAGTCGCCCAGGCAGGGAAATCATGAGAGGCACCGTTCTGGGCAACAGAGATGGGTGGACATGCTGTGGACTGTGCTGGACCCCAGTGCTCTCCATGCATCCCTGCAGCCCACGCTGACCTTTCACCCCCTCACTACCTTCCCAGACCACCAGTGAGGAAACAGTCCCTTGCGGGCCAGGCACTGGACCAGACACGACACCACGGCATCTGTCAGCCATGCCGAGCAGGCACTGACCGTGCTCTGCTGAGAGGCCAGGCTTGCTACTTCCTGGTGTTGGAGCCGCAGAGCCTGGGCTTCCTAGGGGAGGGCCACGGGGTGGGAGCAGGGGACTAGCAGGGTCGGTTTCATATGGCCCGTGGCCTGGGCTGTGGCCTGGTGTTTTGGCATCCCCGGTGCCTGGCATGCTGGGCAGTCCACTCGTGGGAGAGCTGGTCCTCAGCCATGCCTGGTCACTTCACACTGACACTTCTGTGGCCAGTGTCCTGGGAGAAGCATCCTGGGGGAGAGGGACCTTCATCATGAGGCTGCCACGTCTGAGTGCACAGGAGCTTTTCCACGACTGGGGTGGCAAGCATCACGTGCTCAGCCCTGTGTCCCTGCTTTTGACGCCAGGCAACTGCCAGGCTACATGGACCTGCCTGCTGGGGAGGCCTCTGGGTTCAGAGGACATTACAGTCTGTCCCCCAAGAGGATGTTGTGCAGGCTGTGGTGCTTACCTGGTTCGGGCCATGGCCGCTTTGTCGGGAGGCCTCGCAGCCGCCGTGAGTGCTGCTGATCCCGGCACTGGCCCTGGCCCGCGAGGGTGCTGAAGGCTGAGTTGGTCATGCGGGCAGGGCGCGGAACCCATTGTGCGCTGGGAACCCGAGAGCCTTAGCTCGCTCCTGAGGCCTGTGTGTACCGGGACAGGCTCGGACACTGGCTGGATCTAAGCCTGTCGGTGCTCTGGGCAAACCATGGTTCTGCCTCGGGGCCGGGCTTACTGCCTCCGTGGCTCACTGTCCTGTGTTTGAGTTGAGCAGGTCACCTGTTGGCAGCTTCACACGGTAACAGTGTGTGGGGTTCTGGGCACTCTGAGCTGGAGGCCCAGGCTGGAGAGGTACTTCCCCTCCCTGGGTCTCCCTGGCCCTGTCTGTAAAAGCACGCTGCTGGAAGCTTCCTCACAGTGAGAGAAGGTGCGTGGAAAGCACTTGGCAAGCTGTCAGGGATGAAGAGAAGGTCAGGAGGGGAAGAACAGCAGCATGGGAGGCAAAAACCCCAGTCCTGTTTTCTTCTGCCAGGGTGATGGCAGGTGGACCTCAAATCTACAGGAAGACCTCAAGGAGCAGCGCCCCCAATCTGCCTTTAGCTTTCAGAGACTGAGCAACAGCTGGCCCCAGACCAGGGCAAGGCTCCTGGAGAGGGTTCCCTGGCTGCGTCCCGGGCTGGCCCTGGGGTCTCCTGGTGCCCACGTCCACGGTGCAGCAGCCGTGGCTGGCCATCCTAGCAGTGGCCTGAGGTGCCCAGAGATGTGGTCATCAAAGGTCCTGTCAGTGTCCACATAGTGCTTGCCTGGGGTTGGTGAATGGACACTTGGAGCAGCTTGGCTTCTTGCTGAGCCCCATGAGGAGGTCGGAGTGCCGTGGGTGGGGCTTGGGCTTCAGGTCCCGGCTGTGCACCTGCCAGCTGGGTGGCCACGGCCGAGACAGGCCAGAGAGATGGCACTTAGGGCACCGAGCCTCAGAGTATCTGAGATGTTTGAACATACAGATGGCTCCCAGGCAAATGTGCTGAGTTAGACCTCTCGGGGCCGGCGGACAATCTGGGCTGTGAAACCCTTCCTGATGACCATGGAGGTGGCCAAGGTCGGGCACCCATCTTAGCTGCAGTCTCCCCTCACTGTCTGAGAGAGAGGCCATGGTGTTCACGTGTGGCTCTGGTTGCTTAGACATGTGGGTTAACATGGCTTCCACAAGGTGGAAGTCAACCTCTCTCACGTTAAGGGTCAGCTGGAAGGCATTGAGGTTCTGTGAGGTCATCCTGGAGTCCAGATTCCGTCTCACTGCTGCACTGCCAGCTCCCAAGGTATTCTTCCCTGGGCAAAGGCAGCCAAGAAAGGACCGCGGGAGAGAGCCGACATCCACTCCTGTCCCATTGGCCAGTGGTCCCATGGCCTCACCTGGCAGCCAAGGGAGCTGGGAATGTTAGCTGGGTGCCAAGTGCTTGCTTAGCTCTGGGGGGATGGCTGGTGGAAGACAACCCACAGCCCCACGCACCTCCCTTGTGGGCCTGAGCTCCACCTCTTGTCGTGTGGGCTGGCCACATCAGCCGTGGTGGGGCAGTGGCTTAGCTTGGCTCCTGGATTGATAAGGAAAGGCAGCCTGGGGTGCAGGGTTTTAACTTTTGGGGGTCCTCGACCTTTTACCAGCTGATGAGAGCTGATGGTCTCCCCACCCCTTATCTCCCCAGGGTTCTGTTGCTTGTAGGGGCAGAGCCTCTTCCTTTGTGGACAGCTGTCCGGGATAGCCCCTCCCCACCCCAGCAGACTGTCTGGGGTCCTCGGGGACATCTTGCTGCTCTCTGGATCACAAGGTCACACTGCTCCCTCACAGGACCTTGCAGGCCTTGTATGGCTGCCTCTGGGACCCAGGCCACTCTTCCCAGTGTGTTCCTCGTGGTGCTGTGGACTGTCTTCGAGGCTGGTCTCTGTCTCCAGCGCTCTCCCTCCGCCTCCCCTGTTAAAAGCCTAGCTCCCAGGAGGCCTTTCCGACTTCCCTCCCTTCACTACTTGACTATGTGGTTTCTGGTAGATGGAAGATAAATGACAACCAGGGTGAGATCTTTAGAGAAGCAGGAAGGCCCACAGTCATTACACACATGCCCCCGGAGCCGAAGGACTGCTGTGTCCTGGCCTTGTTAGGGAGGTTGACCCTGTCACCTCCATAAATCGGTGTCTGGTGGTTGCTGGGCTGTGCCAAGGGCAGGACCCCTTCCTGCTTTTGCGGATCATTCTTTTTCTCCTCTCGGCCCTGGGAAGGTGCTCGGTAAACATCTGTGAGGTGTTACCTGGAGACACATGCTGGCCTCCCCTCCAGCCTCGGTGCCCGTGTCTCAGCGGCCTCTTGTTTTTCAGAACACGCAGTGCATTCCAGAAGGCTTGGAGAGCTACTATGCGGAGCAAGACTCCAGCGCCCGGGAGAAGTTTTACACCGTCATCAACCACTACAACCTGGCCAAGCAGAGCATCACGCGCTCGGTCTCCCCCTGGATGTCTGTTCTGTCGGAAGAGAAGCTGTCTGAGCAGGAGACCGAAGCCGCCGAGAAGTCCGCTCAGTGAGACGGGCAGGTTCCTTACGAGGTGTCACTTGAAGGTAACCAAGGGACTCGGAGGGACGTTTCGTTAAATGTAATTACCGATACTTTAGAGGTTACTCATTTATGGTGCAGCCGCTTCTGTTTGCTGCTACTGCTTTGCAAATACAGCCTCTGCCGCTGGCCGCTCATGGGCATAAAACCACGGCATATCAGCGCTGCTTAAAGAGCTCCAACACCACCTTCCATGTTAAGGAATCTCCATTTAGCTACTTTACTGGGACTTATTGGAAGTTATCAAAAAATAAATTTATACTGGATATGCAAGGGGTTTGGATTCAGACAAATAATGCATTTTGTGGAACTGATTTATTTTACACGCCCCGCCCCCCGCCGTTTGCAGTCCTCAGTCCACAGCCATATTCACAGTGATCCCACATTGCTAAGAGCAAGCTGTACTTCAGAATTTCTTCCAACCTTCAGTCAGGCAGCAACAGGGCCATTGCTGAGACGCACAGTAGTGAGAGGTATAGAGAAGGAGGGAAAACAGGACATCCGGGAGCGGATGCACCCCTTCCTTCCCCGTGCTCACCCCTATGTGTGCACGTGTCCCGCTTCCGAACACTCGGGGTCTCTATTCCCCCCTGCCCCACCGGAGTTGGCATCTTGGGTGGAGAGCACCGTGTTTCGCTCCAGTGCACGTGAGGCTGTGGAAAGAGTGGTCCCTGGGCCGCGGGCTCCAGGACTCTGTCCCCCCATAGGTAGTCTGTCTGCTCTGTGACGTGTGGAATAGGAACAAAACCCCTTTGGTCTTTTTGTTCTCTTTGGTTATGAATAAATTTGCACCAGTAGCCCTGTTAGCAAGTTAGTTTTCAAAAACTTACTTGTGTTGGAAAAGGGAAAATGTAATTGCTGGGGAGCCAAGACTGACTTATTTTGTGAACCAGAACTCCTTTACTGTAGAAGCAGGCAGGAAAGGCTGAGAGGGGCTGGTGCGGCAACTTGAAAACCCAATGACGACATTTCAATTTACAATCTTTGTAAGAAAATGATGTTTCAACCTGAATCTTGACATTAAAGTGTATGTTTACAAAATTGCCAGTTAGATAAGTATGTAAGATGATTAAATAGAAAAAAAGACATTCACAGACATTTTCTTCCATGTTATTTGAATGTGTTGTTTCTGGTGGACATGTCAAACATTTCACTGTTTTTTAGTAGATCAAAAATAAATGACAGCTAGTGCAAGACCTGTTGCAAACAAGCATGGTGATCACAGTCGACTCCATTACTGTTTCCAAAACCTGATTTCATTATCAAGAGTGTTCTGGAACCATGGCTGTGGGCTTGGGGCTGGGAGTAGGGTGGGTAGCGAGCCTGAGCTGCGCACGCAGTAAAGGCTGCGAGGTCCCCCGGCGAGCAGGGACCACATGTCTGTGAGCGTGGCCAGGCCCGTGTATGCGCACCACTAAGGCAACACACCCCTTGGTACCATCTAGATGTTTTATTGGCTGTAGACTCACTCACAGGTAACTTCCGACACTTTCGCTCTGTGCAAACAAGGAACACAAGGAGCCCGCAGCTGCGCGACAGTCAGTATCGCACACGGGCGTGGGGCCCCACGGACCACCAGCAAGCTTCTGCACCAAAGTGGCTCCAGAAGTCTAGAGCTTCCCACTGCAAACTGGTGCTCCTGTTTCCTCAAGGGTCAGGCACACAGGTCGGGGAGCCGTAGGCCAGGTTCTGGCTCTGGACATATGCTCCAGGGGCCCCCTCCTGAGTGTCCAGAGTCTGTCCCCACCCTTCCTCCCCACCCAGCAGGCAGGCGTCAGCTGGACTTCTGTGACCCACTGACAGGACACGAAGTAGCTGTAGGTGCATTTATTACATTAACAGGACAAAGGTTTGTTTCTAGAATATAGTGAGGCTATCACAGGGCTCAGGCAGAGAAGAAGCCACAGGAAACAAAGAAATGATCATTGTGAGAAGTTACCAACCAGCACTTTTCCCCGAAGCCACTGGAAGGGCAAGGCAGGAGCCTCCCTGAGCCCCGGGCCTCCAGCTGTAGGTGCAGCCGGTGAGCCCCTCCACCCCCACCTCAAGTCAGGATTGCTGCTATATAGCAGTTTCCACTTCTGTTATTTTCTCTTTCCGCTGCCAAATGGGCTTAAAACCACAGGTCTGGGTGTTGCTTCTGTGACAGTGTGCCTCTGTCCCAGCCCCCTCCCCCCTGAACAGCGCAGTGATGAAATCTCACAGTTCTGCTCCGATCCCCGCGACCCCTGACAACGCACCATCCGCCAGGAGCAGCCAGGACAGGCTAGCTGTCATACCAGTCCAGGAAGAGTAGGGAGAAGGAGCACATCACCAGGAAGAAGAGGACCCACACTCGGAAGCCAGCGTTGTTTTTAATGGCCTGGGAGGGGTGGGGAGGAGAAGCACAGGGATTTGCATCACAGGGGATCCTGGTGTCAAAGCCCTCAAGCACTCCACCTGTTCTCACACTCTCCCTCCCCTGGGCGGGAGCACCTTATCGCTGGAGCCTATGCTGGCCGTAATTATTAGGCAAAACCACAGAGTGGGTCTAGAATCCATAGGCAAACAGGTATTTCCCTGTTTCTCCCAGGAAACACCCAGAAACAGTCCACGTGTATCCCAGAGTTAAAACCACAGGCACCGACCAAGCACACCACGACTGGCCAGGCTGCAGTCCCCCGGGAGTACAGTGCCAGTGGTGGCCCCATGTCAACCCAGCCTGAGCACCACACGCAGAGGACAGAGTCCACCATGGTGGCCCCAAAAAACAGGAACCAAGGCTTTGGCCCTTGGGATAGGGAGGGGTTTCAAGAAGCTTCTCCAGTGGAGCCCACCCCTGGCTTTAGGGAGCTGGTCCAGCCCTTGCCAAGAGTGACCTCATACGCCTCTCACTGCTCCTTTGGAGGGCCATGAGTCATGTCTCTTGGTAATAGCGGGGGCCCAGGGTTTGGTGGGGATGGAGATGAGACTGTGTGGTGCCGTCAGGTGAGCCCTGGGGGCTGGGCCCCAGCAAGGCACTCAGGCAGCCATGCCAGAAAGACGACGGCTGCTGCCCAGACGTGGTGCCACACTGGGGAGACCTGGGGGGCCCAAGAGTACTCACCTCTCTGATGTCTTCATTACCCTCCTTGATATTCTCAGTTGCTCCGACAACTAACTGGTGAATGCTGTCAATCTCGGCTTCCTGTGGAAGGACACTGACAGGTAGACCAAAACACACTCTCTTTCCCCAAGTGTACAGACATCAGAAGCCAGCAGCTACCACTTAGGGAGGACTGGGACTTTACACACATGAGCCCATGAGTCCTCACGGTGCCCCGAGGGGTAGGCAGCAGCCCCATTTTGCAAAAGGGAAACTTAGGGTTCAGAGATGTTTAGTAACTCGCCCGAAGTCACACAGCAAGCATGTGGCAGGACCAGGACTGGAACCCAGTGCCTGTGCCCTATGCACCCCCAGCTGCCATCTGCTGTCCCACTTGCTGGTCAAGAAGGGACAAACATGAGAGCTGCTGGCTACACAGTAGCCACCAAAAGCCAGGGGCTTTTCTTCTGCTTTCTCCTCTACTCTTTGGACATCCAGAGACAAACGCCTCCAAATGCGTGTGCTTTAAAACACGTTAGCTCCTTGGGGCGCCTGGGTGGCTCAGTGGGTTAAAGCCTCTGCCTTCGGCTCAGGTCATGATCTCAGGGTCCTGGGATCGAGCCCCACATCAGGGCTCTCTGCTCAGCAGGGAACCTGCTTCCTCCTCTCTCTCTGCCTGCCTCTCTGCCTACTTGTGATCTCTGTCTGTCAAATAACTAACTAATCTTTAAAAAAAATTACCAAAACAAAACAAAAAACAAATCCCACGTTAGCTCCAGGAAAGTGCTTTGTGCTTCACCATTTTGTGTCTCTCTTAGAAAAAGAAAAAAAAACAAAACACAAAACTAAGGCACCTGGGTGGCTCAGTCAATTAAACCTCTGCCTTCCACTCAGCTCATGGTTCCAGGGTCCTGGGATTGAGCTCCATGTCTGACTCCCTGTTCAGCAGGAGCCTGCTTCTCCCTCTCCTCCCTGGTTGTGCTTGCTCTTGCTATCTGTCACTACCTCTCTTTCTCTCAAGTAAACAAATAAAACCTTTAAAAAAAAAAGGGGGAGCTGGGGCACCTGGGTGGCTCAGTGGGTTGGGCCTCTGCCTTTGGCTCAGGTCGTGCGTGGTCTTTTGGTCCTGGGATCGAGCCCCGTGTCGGGCTCTCTGCTCAGCGGGGAGCCTGCTTCCCCTCCTCTCTCTCCGCCTCTCTACCTGCTTGTGATCTCTGTCAAATAAATAAAATCTTTAAAAAAAAAAAAAAAAAGGGAGGAGCTAAAATGTACAGACATTAGCTCCCATGTACTGATAGGCTGCCATGAGCCAGGCATGTGTACCTCTATACCAGCTCTAAGGGTGACACAAGGGACACCTGCTCTGCTCTGTGGAGGGTGGCGTGGCTCAGGGCACCCCGGATTGGAGCCAGTCTGTCTGACCCTCCCTGGCCTCTGAGCTCTCCTCCCATGCTGAGATGCCTCTAGAAACAAGGCGTGTGCTCTGACAGGGACAGCTGACTTCACTGTTGAATGTGTCAGGAGGCTTCTACGTGAAGGTTAGCATACACACGCCTGAAGAGTTCCTTCAGCGGGCTGTTAAAAAGGACAGCTCTTATGAACCTGAACTTCCAAACTGTTAGGCTTCATGTACCTAATTTACAATGACTCGACTCTGGCTCTGAGGTTCAGGGCAGGTTTTGGGAGTGAGGTATAAGCCAATGAGCCCAGTTTCCTACAATGGAGCAAAGTGATTTTGCCTCTGAAACCTTTCCACGGTCTGTGGGTATTACAAACAAAAGGACAAACCGATCAGGTCTGTAACAGCTTTGCGTTACTGGCTGGAGAGATTTCAGCAGGGGAGGCAGGTACACGTTAACATAAAATCCTCTTAGAAGAATGATCCTGTTTGCTGTGTGGATGTGACACCTGAGGGCCCAGATCTGGTACTCGGGAGAGGGCCAAGTCTGGGCTCTCGTAAAGGCCGACTCAGAAGCTACTCCCCCAGCAGGCGCTGTGCTGGGGGCTTTCTGGGGGCCACCTCTGAGACTTACAGCAGCCCTGCAAGGGTCACAGCCCTGCAGAGCCGGCAGGCCAGCCTGGTTCCCTGAGGGCATCCAGAACGAAGAGTGAGTGACCTGACTCCCGCTACCTTCGTGTGCTCCACCAAACACCTGGGCTGGGCCCTCAGTTGGGTCTGGGCCACCCGAGAGCAGAGACGTCCCTGCCACGCACAGAGGCTGCACCAGGGGGACAGGAGGCCCTCCCCTGAGGAGCCCCCTGAGCGCACATGGGCTGTATGCACAGGGCTCTGGGTACTCGGGTGCAGAGACCAGGCCAGCTCACAAGGAACGGCTGGACTTCACAGTACATTCTTTGAAGCTAACACTTTGAACAACGATTTTTTTTTCTTTCTTACCTGTTGTAAAACCTTCTCTGTGAATATCTCCTGGAGTCTGGAAATTTCAACCACTCTCCCTTCGATTTGCCTTCATTTGGAGGGAACGAAAAAAAAGAGGTTACCGACAACCATTAATACTTGGTAGTCCTAACAAGAATGCTACGCATTTCTAAAGGGATCGTCTAAGTGAGAAATGGAGGGGACACCACCACAGCCTCCAGAGAGGGAAAGGAACAGCGTGTCATCCGTGAGAGAGGGACGGGGCACCATGTCAAGCTTGGGAGAGGAGACAGACGTTTTACTTCGCGTCTTTCCTCTGAAGTCTCTCAGTTTGGAGGGTATTGTGCAATTTGGAACCCCGTCCTCCCCCAGAAGCTGACCCGCAGGGCCTTGGTGTGGAGTTACAAAAGGCAGTCTTCTAGAAGGCCTGTACCCAGCCTAGTAACCACAGTAACATGGTGGGGATTCAAAAGAAAGCACCAGAATGTGCTGACAACTCAACTTTGTTACTGCTCAGTAGGTTAAGGGAGAGTCTATCTGCCACTCTAACCAACTTCCTCTTGGAAGGAAAAACTCTGATTCCGTCTGAAAAATTTATCTGGGTTCAGCAACCAAGCGTCTGGGCTTCCTGTTCAGGGGCAGCAAGGGTGTCCCAGGCGTGGGCTGGGGGCTCGAGCAGGCCTAGAAATGAGGATGAGCTCCCAGCCCAAGAGGCCTGCTGTGTAAGGGCAGGAGGCAGCCACTCCTCCCAGGGCTTCGAGGTGTGGGAAGGGAGAGCGAGGTGCACAGGGGCAGGGATGGTGAGGGTGGAGTGTGAGAACAAGGACCAGGAGGCCCACGGAAGAAAGACAAAGGCTACAGAAAAGCACAGGCCGGGTGCTGTCAGAGGGAAACACCTGCATGTGGAGTCCCCAGGGCTGTGTGGGTACAGTGCCGGGAAGCATTTTCTCTTGGGATGAGCCCACAGAGCAGCAGGGCTTCCCATTCGGATGCTCCAAACATTCTTGGGGAAACAGGCCCCAAGTGCTTCCCCTGAGGACCAGCCAGCGATGGTTCACATGGGCAAACAGAGACACTTGCCTTTGGTGCTGCCGACCCCTGTGCTGAGGGAGCAGACAGACCCTGGCAGGGCCAAGTGCAGGAGGCTGCCCCTGGCTGGTGGTTCATCACAAGGCCCCCATCTCACTGGGAGTCATGAGGCGCCAACAGCCCCCATGCCCCCCCAGTATTTGGTGCAATCTGCTTGAGGTCACTGGGAATAGCATGAAAGGGGTGACGAAAGGGGGGCCCACAAGGTGACGGAAGTCAGTAAAGTTGGGCACCTGCCTTCACCTCCAAATGGCTCGGGGAGGGGGGGGGGTGCATGTGGCCAGGGCCACAAGCAGACACCGTGGCACCAAAGTGAATTTATTCCCCATTTCTGGGAAAGCTATCACGGAGGCCAGCAGCCTGGAGAAACCACATACACACCTCACTTCATCGAACAGGCTGTTCATTTCACCAATGAGGCGCTGGTTTTCTTGTTCAAACTGTGAGGAAACAAACACATGAAAGGTGATGTCATACCCAACACAGCCAGAGGCAAGTGTCTAGCAAGGCCTCTGCACAGAAATCTTCGATCTGCCCTCTAAGGATCGCCACCGAGTCCCTCCTTCCAGCATCAGCGTGACAACATTCCTGCGGCTGGACTTGTCCCCACCTGTGAGCTGCCCTGATGCCCGAGAAGGTGAGCCTGGAGGGACGGTTGGGGGGTGGGGAGCTGTCATCCCTCTCCCTGCTCTCCTCTGGCTCCCACAGGCCTGTACTGTCTGCCGCTGGGTCCACCTGTTTTAAGTGGAGTGATGAGGTCCAGCAGCTTAGCTGAGAGTAGGGCAGTGTGATTTCAGAGTTGTGCTTGGCCAACTCCATGACTGGAACACAGGCCCAGGAGCCAGAGGAGCCGTGTTCCCAGGGCTCGGGCTAGCGATCAGGCTTCGGGACGCAGTTTGGGTAAGGATGCTGCCCTAATACACGGGAACTCGTTGGAGCCGAAGTGACTCTGTGAAGCAGACAGCTCTCCCCGTCTGTTCTTGCCAGCTTGACTCTGGCCCAACAAAGGACAGTGTGTCTAAAGCTTCGCCACAGTGTGGGGCCAGCCGATCTCCTCCCCCTCACCTCCAGGACCAAGCACTCCGCCTTCCCAGGCCAACTCAACCCTGGGGCAGGGTTCCCACAGACCCGGCCCAAAGGCCACCTTCTCTGTGACCTATCCCGGGCCCCCAGGCTTGAAGCTAGTTCTCATTTTTCTAACCTTGGCCTAGCACCTTCTGAACATCTCTTAGCCTATCTAAGGCCTTGTCAGAAGCTGTGCACATCCCCAACTCCCTGTGGGACTGTGAGCTGCCTGAGGGTGGGACCTGCGTCAAACCCAACTCTGAAAAGGCCACACACCCATTCTTCCTTTCACATCTGTTAAAGCTGCAGCTGCATCCACAGAAACTTTCTGAGGATCTGTCTGTGGCAGACGCTGCGCAGGGAACAAGTGGAAGCAGGCTCTCGCTATCCAGAGGCTTTGCCATTTGACTGAAGATCCCGCTACCCCTTGCTCAGTAAAACAATGGAGGCCGTGCTGAGCTCATCACCCACAGGGACTCACAGTCTCCTTGCCACTCCTTCCGGCTCCCACTTCTCGGTCTCCCTGCCACTCCTTCCGGCTTCCCTCACAGGGAGGGAAGCAGCTGTGCTCACTCACCCCTATACCTGCCCGGGCTGCTGCCTTTGCTACACCTCCTCACCCCTCCCTGGGTTTCCCTGTCCTCCCTGTGCCTTGCTCACTCCCACTTACTGGAGACACGGGTTGGTGGGGGGGGGGGGTCACTTCCACGGGCAGGGCGTCTTAACAGTCCTCCACTCGTCCCTCCAGCCCTCCACGCGGGTGTCCTCTGTCCCATCTGCCACACCCTTGCTGCACCCATTCTTTGCCTGGCACCTAAGCTCCATCCTCATCATCTTTCAGTCTCCTCTGATCTGTCCCCCACTCCTTGAGGGGTCAGAGTGAACTAAGACGCCAGTCACGTCACTTGGCAGCACGCCAGCCCTGTCCCATGGCCCGCAGATCAGTGCAGAGGTGTGGCCTTCTCCTGTGTCCTGCTGCCCCACCTCTGCACAGGCTGGCGGAGAGCTTGTTAGGCACCTTCCTAGTGACCAGGCACCTGAGGCAGAATGAATCCCCTTCCTCCATCTCCTCTTATCAAAAGCTCCTCTGCACTTGGCCCATCGGCTGCACTTGTTGCCCCCATTCTGGCGTCTTCCCTCCTGGGGCGGGGACTTCTTCTCTGGCCTCTCAGCTCAGGGCAGGGCCTGACACACTCCATGGCACTGGTCCCCAGCCCTGCTGCTTGTTCGAAAACCAAGACACCTTTGCTCCACCCCAGACCCACTGGGTAAGAAGACCAGGGATGCAGGGGGCTGGCTCAGCTTGTAGAAAGGGAGAAGTGCTGGGGAAGCACACGCAGGGCCGCCCTAAGCCCCCCGGCAGGCCGCCTTGCCGGCTGCTGACAATGCACGCAGATGGCCCTTCTTATGCATGCAGCGGGTTATTTACGGGAATAGAAACTTCACTTCAGACTTTGAAAGTATCAGCTCTGTTAAATGTCAACAGTTACTTGCGTGCAGTATTTAAGGAAAAAATACAATGACTTCGGCATGTAGGTGCTAATTTATTTTCAAGAATTCTCCCAGGTACTACTTAGGGTTTTTATTTATTTTTGCTGGCGGCATTTTCTTATTTTTCTAATGACAAAATATGGCCCTGTCCTTTTAAATCCTCAGCCCTTTTATGCTTTTTAAACTGTTCCTAAGCAAGATTAACTAGGGGTTTGAGGTGGTTTATTATGGGAAAGTCCCCTGGGAACAAAGCTCTCTGTTCCACCCCAACTCCAGGGCACATGGCCCCTGCTGCACATCCTTCTAGGCCTCCGGGTAACTATTACCTCTGAAGGACTCCTGCCAGCCCTGCTCAGGAGTGGGACCAGATTCTGGCTCTCATTTCCTTTCAAGCCTTGGGTTCTTAAGGCCACCGGCAAGTACCCAGTCCCTGGAGGAAGTGGGAGAAACTAATGCCTCGAGGGATCAAGCGGCAATAGCGCTGAGGAGAGAGGTTCGCCGAGGCCAAGACCTTCATGGAAAGCGGCCTCCACTGGGGGTGGGAGTTACAATGACACTGTGTTTTCCAAAACAACAAAACCTCTTTCCCACAGCCAAGTGCAAGGTGGTCAATTCATGAGACCTTGTGGGTCTCAGGCAGATCAGGCAGTGGTCAGGCTGCTGACAACACTCCTTGCACCAGATCTCAGGGTGGTTTCCAAAGCTGCCTTGGTGGCAAACCCATACACCTCTCCTCTCATCTGCTGAGTAAGACAGGGAGTGGCAAATGCTGGCCGGCAGGGGCTGGTTGGGGACATGCCTGGGACTTCAGTGAGCCAGCCCCTACAGCCTCATGGCAACTCCTGGATGACCCTGGACTGGTCATTGGCTTCTGTTGGGCCTGTCGTGTGACCAGGTCTCTTGGTCAAGAGAGGCAGTGATGATGCCGAGGGTGGGGAAGGAGGGCTCCTTTACTTTCTAAGCTGGATACCCTTGGGCAGCTAACTTTCCTGTGTCCGTCTTCATCACTAAAACGGGATGCTAGCACGACTTAGTTAGCAGTTCTTTAACCCACTGAGCCACCCAGGCACCCTAGTTAGCAGTTCTTAAGAGGAAGATGTGCGAATACACATAAGTGGCTTACAAAGCGCATGGCTCACAGGAAGCTCTCACTGAGTGCAAGTTATTATTATTTAATTTCTCTAGGAGTGAGATTCCAGATCTGCAAAATGAGTCATGAAATGCTCTGAAGGCCCCTTCCACCTCTCTGGTTTCAAACTTTAGAGAGCTGCTGTGACTCGAGATCATCTCACTTGCTCCAGCATGAGAAACACTTATACCACAGTCACTGGGGCTCCCTGGCAGCTGCTGGCATCTGTCCCCCCAAGGGGATGGGGACTTCACAAGGAGCGGTACCCAGCAAGGCCTGGGCTCCATGGTCAGCACCAAGGACAGGGGTACCTA